CAATCATATATATATCACCAATGTCTCGCAAACCACCATATTAATTCACACATACACACATGTATAGCTATATACAATTTCTCCTATATATGCATGTTGCCTTCGGAGCCAGTGGCATTAGCCTAATTGGTGCCTTCGGAGCACGATAACAATTGGAAATGGTTCATGACCTGGTCGATGGGGGCCGTAGCGGGTAATAGTATTCTCCCTTCGGATTTATGACCTGGTCGAGCAAAAATCCCGCTATTTTCTCTTGAAGTGCTTCTACGCGCTCCATTTCTAGGAGCTTGTCCCGCACATCTGTGAACTGTTAAGAAGGAGATCAATATGCATGTGTATTAGTTGTGTGACTAGATATCGATAATGGTGTAAAAATTGTGAATAGTGTTCTGACAAGCGTACCCATTCCTGTTTTTGAGATCTGCTCCTTTCGGACGCCATCATGAGAATGTTCTCGCAAACGCAGAATGCACACAGATCAGTCCCCTGCGCCTGCTTCAGGGCCTTTACGAGAATGGAATTTAATTTGATCAGATAATAATTAATCAAGCATGATAATTAAAGAGATGTCAGCTAGCTAGCTAGCTAGTACTACTTAATTACTTACCTTGGGTCGAAACCATTTCAGCTGTCGTTTCCATTCGCCTGGAGTGACGTTGATGAAACTTGCCCAAGCCCTGCCCGCTGACAAAGAAAATGAATAAAGGGGTTATTAAATAGTTCATATCATGAAATGACGAACTAAATAGGCCGAGATATATAGTTAATAATGATTGAAATTACTTGTTGACTATCCCAAACAAGATGTTATAGTCACTATTTGCTTTGAGTTGTGAGTCCAGTATTTCAACTGTTCCGGCGTCAACTTTAATGATACACAAGATCCAGTGAAATCTGCATGCACACACGTTTGCATGTCTTAATTAAGCGGGCATATGTAAGCAAAAACAGAGAATTTGTAGTACAAGACAGTGTGACTCACTGGAAGTTGTAAGGAAGTAGTATATCTTCATTGTATTTGAGGCGCTTCAAGAACTCTAGCATGCTGTCCTCTACCTGCTTTTCATGATGTCGATTTATTTTCCATGTGTATTCATTAACGGTGTTTGGGTCAATGAACCCAATGCCATAGCGTCCACCTTTCTCATTTCATACATCTTCATCCTGCACAATACCACATAAAAGAATATAGTGAGGATAATTACAGGTAATGATTGATCAAAAGGATCACTACAGCTAGCTTGAGACTTAAATTACAGAAAGAAATCACTTACAGACAATAGCAACTGACGATAGATTTGTCGAGTGCGTCTTGATTGTATAACTGAAACAGTTCAGAATACTCAACGGTCACAGGTTTCTGATGGTAGTAATGATCCTTCTTGACTTGCACCATGAGGGACTCTCGATCGGATCTCTTGGTAATGTCCATGTACCATTGATGCAATTCATACATTCTCGTTGGGAGCTTCTTGACCTCTTCTGGCTTGACCAAAGGTTGGCCCCGGGCATATTTCCGTTTTATTTCCTCCTCTGTAAGCACAGGCATGTCCTCGATCTCGAGGAGTTGTCCAACAGTGATGTTGAGAGTTTCAGCCTGCATTATATGCTCCTGGGTTATTACCATATCGTCCACCTCGAGAACGTAAACTGTTTGCCCACAATAATATTGGGCGCGCGTACTGTCACGTGTTGTTGGCACAACAAGCAGGGGGATCAATTGCGCCTCCTGTTCTCCCAGCTGGGCAACGGTTTTCCCGCATTTTTTGACAGTTGCTTGTTGTTTGCTCGAGCTCGAGCTCGCCTCCTTCTGTGGACGTTGTCGATTTAACTTCCCGATGTGGCGCTCATAGTCTGTGTCAACAGGCTTAGGAGCTGGTGGTTGAGCCATACGAATGAAGTGGTCAATCTTTTCCACAGGCACTTTCTCCCTTGGCGGCGGTGGCGGTTTC